TGCAAATATTGTGCAATTATAGTAATAGTAAATTTAATTATATTTACAACAACAGTATATTTACTAAATTTACTACACATTTTATTATTTTATTTTATTTTAATATATTTACTTTAAAAATAGTAATTTCGTATTTTTCAAATGTAATTGTTTCTAATCGGTCTGGTGTTACGACATCTGTAGTCTCAAGTACTTGTTTAAACATCCGCATCAAAGCATTAAGCCAAGCAATAAAGTTCCATCTTCGGCCGTGAACATCAGAATCTCGAACATACGTTCCAACTTTCCGGAACTGGCATACATCTCGTTTTATTTATCCAGAGATCGTCGATCGTTAATTTCATCCGTCGTCTTTAACTTTAAATATTCTCACATTTGTTCTTCGAAATGCCTCACATTTCAAACAACGTTCAATAAATCAGTTTTCGCAACCTCTCGTATTTCATCTTCGCGAACCTTTTGTTTATGTCGCTAGATAGTAATGAAAAATTTCTGTTTTTTTTTTTCGAATATTACATAACACGATAACAATAATTGTTACAATTTTAGAATTTCGCAATTTTTTTTTTCTATATAATTATTATTTTTCTTAGTAATCGTTTAATTCTGAAAATCGAGTAATCTTTATAGTCCATTTTGTAAAAATCCTAATTTTAAAGCTCGACGATCGAATGAATTTTAATAGCTTTTATATTGCTAATATAAAATGGCTGCGACAGAAATCTGTTTGTTTGCTTTCGTTCCGTTTTCATCTTCGTGTTGCATTCTTACAATGCTCCGATAAATTTCGATGCGAAATTTCGCGCTGCAATTTGCATCAATCAGAATGCTGACGAATTAATCCCTGTATTTACACGCGAAACCAAACTTTTTCTCCGATTTTTTTTCCTAAAGAAGCTGATAAGGTACGTGGTAGGTGAAGCATTGTTTATAGCAGCAATTACGAATACAAATGTTTTCGTCTAAGTGTGAAACGCTCGAAATACGAGCAAAATCCCGTTATCGGAGCGATCGTGCAGAATTTTTGGAGACTAATCAATGATGAAGTATCTTTCCACGAATCGGCGATGTCTGCGATACGTTATTTCGACGATTCTTAATCCAACAATACTGGCGCCTTGTACTTACGTAACTCAAAATATTATCGTTGGATCGTGGACGACTAGATATAAATGTGCTATAGTAACTCTACAGTCAAATCTAGAGTACTCGATTTTTGTTTGCATTTTAATTAATAATAGAATTAATTAGGCTTAATAATAGAATTCAATTCAATTGAAAATTTTAAAATTGAACAATTGTTAGGATCTTTCATCAGTTTTGTAACAATAATCGTCGTGTTATTATTGAGTAACAATATTTTCTCAAAGAGAAAAGTTTATTCTTTGAAATATTTTCTCAAAGAGCAGTGATTTTGTCTAAAAATTCAGATATAACTGGCATGAAAATCGATTGGTATAATTTTTTTATATTATTGTGAAGAAATTTATAGTGGAGGATTTGATGATAATGGAATGAAAGATTGATTTAATAAGGATAATCCTAAAGATCGAATAAATTGCACTTCCTACTAATTTGTATGCTCACACACTTTACATTTTATTGCTTCGTTATTTTCGGATTTTGATAGAAATTCAGATGCTCGTGCCTGATATTCTTATCTCGTGTTGATAATAGAATCTTCTTCTGTGAAAACAGCATAATTCTAGATACAATTGCTTGAAATGATGAAATACGTTTGACTGATACTTCACATCGCGCGTTCAAATTTCTTATTCAGTTCGCAAGATTGAAGTTAAATTAAAATATCAGAAAATTAGAATGAAGTAACAGCAGAAGCTTTGAATCAATGTTAAATACTTGTACAAAATGCTGTACGAACATGATATTAATTGCGATGTTGAAGTGGCAAGCAAATAATGAAACGAAAATTTGATACAAATTATGACGAATATAACGTTCTGATGCTAATTAAAGACAGAAGAAACGAGATTGATCACACCGATTGCTTCCATATATAAACTGATTTAATTTTTTTAAAATATCGACAAAAATCTTCATCGAATGATAAATTAATAATATCTTGTAAAATGTGCTGAACGAATCAGAAAAACCGGAACGATAAAATTAATCCCAACGATTTAACGCTTCATTGGCATATCTTAAGAACGATACATACTAGAGGTTAAAGACAATTCCAAATTTACAGAAGATCATTGCTTCTCGCGTTACGTATTAACCAGGTTTCAACTTCCGGTTTGCACCGTTCTCTGTGTCGATTTTTTTCACAAGTGACGAGCTGCTCATTTGCTACGAAAAACAGAGAAATTCATGAAATAGTACACGTTCTTTAATCGCTTTCTTGATTAATTTCTAAATACTATAATTTCTTCTAACGACATGAAAAATACATAAAACAGTATATCCTTATTTGAATAATAAGTTGATAAAATTGGAATAAAATATTAAATAAATAACTATAGAAATAAATTGAATAAGTTATTTATTTTTAATTATTATTATTAAGGATTTTTGTCATTTTTGTCATAAAAAAATTCAAAAATATGTTCTTTCTATTACGAAATCAATCAACTGGTAAAATATAATTAATAGACTGTAATAATATATAGAATATCAAAAATAGAGTACATATATAATAAGTAAAAAAGATTTCTCTTTCATTTTCTTTTTATACTTTAAAACTTTAAACTTTCCTGTGTTACTTGCAGGAAATTTTTACGTGCAAAATTGGATTAAACAAAATTCACATAACATTAAAGAATATATAAGATCAATCAGTTTTATCAATTATCATTTCAGTGATAATCTCATATATAATTTAACATCGAAATTCTACTCTTTTAATTAATTTTATCAATTTTCTACCAAGGTCTCCTAATTATATCCTTAACAAATAGAAAGTCGCTAATAATTAAATGACTCTAAAAAATTAGAGCAAAGCACAATTTTAATAGAGAAACTTTTTTAATTTTTAAAGTCGGGTCATCGAACTTTTCTCGTGAATTTTTGAACAGCGACACTTCGGTGGAATGCGCGCGAAATTCGAATTTTGTTTCAACGGCGTTCCATTACGCAAGAACGATCAGACAAAGCGATGTTGCAGTCGCACGAGCAACAATTCTCTTCTTTTCAAGGGTATCAGGTTTCTGAAGTCCTTGCCTTTGACGTGACTTTGCGTTTCTAAACTTACAGTTTCGCGAATAAATCTCATTACTCGGCGAACATTCGCCTCGAGCTACCAATCGAACGAGTTTACTTTGTTTCTCGAAAATTGAAAAAAAACTACCGTTCTTTCATAATTGAGTGAATTAGACTATTGAAAGTTGGAAGAACGTCGATTTGTTTCGCTGCTTGTGAAATTCATTCAAAAAAATAATCAATCGCACGATGTGTGATTCATGAACACTCAATATTTAGTTCGCTCAGTCATTCGGTTCTTTAGTTTACATGCTATTGAATTAACTTTTTTTTTTTTCATTCTAAATAGATATCTCATTGCAAGTGTTTGCTTGAAATTTATTTTAACTTCATTTCATCCAGTCAAAATCCAGTCAAATCTCGCAAATTCTTGTGATAACTTTTTATTAAAGTTTGATTCTCCATTGAGAATCTAAATCCTTCGTGCTCCAAAATTCCTTCCGAGATTAACTTTGTGCCAGGATTTTGATCGAAATCTTTCCGAAATCTTACTTCCGAAACTATTGATAACATTTTCTCCGAAAAAGGAATTCTTGCCACTGGTGGTTGCAATGAGAATAAGTTGTACAATTTAGAAATCAGCTAATTCTCTGCAGCACGAGCCCACGAGAAATCGATCACTAACAAAACGTCTAACCAAACACAACACATACGCAGTCGAGGGAATTTATCAAATGCGATCATCGACATCGGGCGCAGCTACTATGCTACGTATATCTACATAGTAAAGTACACTCACCTGCGTGTCATCGGGCTTACGTCTCTGGCTTTCCACGGTCGCGCGACAGAGCGAGAAAAAGCAGAGAGGAAAAAGGGACGGGCGACGAGTCATGAGAAAACCTGAGAGGCGACGAACGCCTCTGGAATCGTTCGAAATCCCCCGCAGTTCACCAGTGACGTCGTCGAGCCGATGGTCCACGTCTCGGGAACCCAAAGGCGTCATCCAATGGCCGTACATACGAGGCTGGTGGGGCTCAGCTTTCGTCTGCACGCGTCTATAAAGCCTCGCTAATTGTCCACGCGGCGAGCAGTCGATGCGTGGCCCGCTTTTAAACGACGATGTAGCCGCGGCTACATCGACAAATCGAGGGATCTCGCGTGCACTCAACATCACTGTCACTGTCACGATCGAGATCGAGCACGTGCACCTGGAGAAGAACACAGTGTGACGAGAGCCGTTGCGATTGCCGTCAGTCATCTTCCCTTTTTTCTCCTTTGGAAGAAAAAAACAAAACGCCGCGAGATCTCGTCCGAAGTCGAAGAGCGATCCTTTCGAAGTTGGTGCAAAGTGAGAGAAGCTAGGTCTTCTTTTGTTTCTTTTTCTTTTTTTTGTTGTGACAGACTCGAAAAGTTGCTGCGAACACCGTGTCGAGATCTGTGATACCGTGTGTCAAGTAAAGTTCCTCTTGAACAGGTAGAGAAAAAGGTAAA